CAAGGGAAGAGATATGTAGATTATACAGTTAGAGACATCCTCTATATAAGTAAAAGAAAGAAAATGTAAAGGCAAATCTCACCTTTTACCAAAGTGATTCCGGCATCGAGATAGCTAGGCGGGAGGGAATCCAAGTCCTCAGCAACACCATAGGCGTAGATTGATAAGTCACCAGAAGAACAAAAAGCTGACTTGATATTCTCAAAAAATTGACCAGGGTCAAGGCCTTGGGGGACTGGATAATCCTTCACGTCCCAGAAGACGGACGTAGTGACACCTGAGAGGTTTACAGTAACAGATGGATGACTATTCATCTAATCGAGATAAAGACAAACAATTTTGAGAGAGAGAGAGATCTTACTGGAGGGCATGGAGAAAGTTGTGATTTGGGGAGCGGGAAGCTGCATAAAATACTTGTCATCTTCATCTTCATCTTGCTCACCCGCTGCCTTTCGCCGCTGTCGCTCTACGTCTAGAGCATATCGCTCTCCAGCAGTCTTTGGATATAATGGTAATGCCTCATCAAAAAGGAGTGGACAAACCCATACTGGTAATGGTAATGATAAGGTGGAAAGATTGGAAGCTCCTCTGTATATTCCAAAATTGTTTGGCTCATTCACTTCAGGCACTACAAGTACAACATCGAAACCTCTGTGTATCAAAGAAGCAAGAACCCTAGTGATCATTTCAGTGTGTTGTGACAATTTCGCGACTACCGCAAAACAGCTTATACGCCTAAACCGTGCCTGTGCAACAAGGTTCGCTAACATATCCTTAAGAGCTTCACGTTCATCATCTCTAGAGTGAATGAAGACTCCAGAATAAATATATCGCTCCAGCAAATCATGTGGGAATACAGTCGGATTAAAACCAGCCATAATCCGGTCACAACGAAGACCCTGCTTAGATAAAGCATANCTCATAGCTTGAACAACAAAACCAGCTTTCTTATACTCAGAGGGGAGCCAACTGTCGGCGAGCCAGTAGACGGCTGCCGTCCTCCTCTCTGCGACAACGCATCCATAAAAAATACGATTCTTAGAGAGTCT